TTAATACTAGTCCTGGTAGCTGTGGAAAGGCCTGTAGCTAATTTAAGGCAAATGCAGATAAATGCCACATTTTAAGGGGAGCTGCTGATCTCTTTACATCAGTCTGAACTACACATTCATTTTAAATGCTGCACAAGGGGGGGGGAAATCAATGCAGTGGAAGACTAGGTGCCCGAAGCTTCCAAGTGACTCTGGTTGCACTTTTACTCCCTACAAAATGAACTTAAGACATTAAACACAAGCTGCAAATTTCCTTAAATGCATTTCCTAATATCTTCAGCACCCATTGTGCATCAGCTAGTGTCCTTAAATACAGCTCAGTTTCCACTGACTCTCCTCAGCTAGTATTAGACTGGAATCCTGAGACTTGGCTCTGTTTTGGGAAACACTGCAAATGTCTCAGACATGTAATTTAACCCTGTCTTGGTGCAGACCGCACCGTTGAATTCACAGTGAAGTTGGTGATAGAAGCAACTTGCAGGTGTTTTTTTAAACAACCTTGGAGGCAAAGTTGGGGAAACTTTGTTTAAGAGACCTGAATGACTACACAAGCAGATGTCCCAACATGCAATGACATCAAATGTAATTTAGATGAAGCTGGAAACAAAAGCCCAACACTGATCAGACTGGAGGTTTAGGTTGACAGACACTTTAATTGAGACATGAGTGACCCTTAACCATGTGGGCATTTACATGGACTCCATCTCTACTTTTTAACAAAATACAAAAGGAGAAGAAAAAACAAAACAAAATGAGTATTGCAGAGAAGCCATCTTCAAAGTAAGATACATTATTTACACTGAAAACAGAACGCTACGTCATTTTCCTTTTTCCAGGAGAGAGAAAAATAAAGGTGAAATAAATAAGACCAGAAATGCTTTTTCGTCCACATTCACAGCATGACAAATCATATTCAACTCATTAATGTCGACCCTGTGCGGTCAGAACAGACTGAGATATTAGTAGGTAATTCGGTGATTATTGCCAAAAGCCTTAATCTATACATTATAATATTCAATACATACTCTGTGTTTTGTTTAGAAAAAGGAGACATTTGGAAACTGCTACTTGGATGATTGTACAGCTTAAATACTTCTAGATATATATATATATATGTATACTTTAAACCCTTTTGTTCATAGCTTTAACTCATTGGCAACTTTGGAAGCAATGTTTTTGAAAGCGATGGATGAGCCGGATATCCTTTTGAACCTGACGCCATTGAGGGAGAGACGGGGAAGCTTGCAAACCTCCATCTCCCACTGCACCAGGTTTTCAGCTCGCCCGTCTCCATGGACG